AATGGTACTGAATAATTTAATAGTTAAAATCAATTGCAATTATGATCGACAGTTGATATTATCAATGAGAATTAATGTAAAAAATAATACTTTTATTTTATTATAATTGACTTTCCGTATTTAATCCGGCCAATACTTTGAATTTAAAAAGAGGTTCGTAAATTATTAAAAATGACTTGCAAGTTTTATAGTGATTGCCGCATCTGATTCTATTGTGGCTGGCAAATTAAATTTCTGTGGAGGGAGTGTTTTGCCTCGGCCACACACATCGCGCTGGCGCAAAGATTCGAGCTAGCACAATGTATGTGACCAGTCCTTCGTGAATACTTCGTAACTTCGTGCGAAGTTTCAAGCACATCACTTCGTTATCGCAATGTATGAGGCCGGCCCTTCGTGAATACTTCGCCACTTCGTGCGAAGTTTCAAGCACATCGCTTCGCTGTCGGTAAATTCCCGCACTTTGCGCATGGGTACAGTCGCGTTCTAAAGTACTACGGCTAAGTCAAGCTAAAATTATTTATATCTATTGTTTTATGACTGAACTAGTGAACGAAAAGGTAAATATGATAGGAGAAGATGAATGGGGAAAATTGTGCAATAAAGTTAAAAGTGTTGAGGAAGAATACCGAAAAACTTACCATGTGATCGACCTGATGACGGAAGCTCAAACGAAGATGAAAGTGATGATGAAGTAGCATCCAGTAACACCAACACACCAAGACGACATAATGGACGGCGTGTCACCCTTAGCTTAAGTTTTCTCGTTACAAACTACTTTATATTTTACGATAGAAATAACAAATAATGCTCAAGTAAACATTATCCATTTTTAATTCCAACCTTTTCCAAAGTTCTAAGTAGCTAGTAAAGCACCTATTATGATTCTACAATAAAACAATTAATTACTATAATATTATAAAACAATATCCCAATACCATGTAGTACTTTAGAACGCGACTGTAACTACACTGTCGACCTGTATCTAGCTCGATGCGAAACAATCCGTCGTCGTCGTCGAAACAGCCGTCATAAGAAAAAAGGGCGCATCTAACAATTTTTGAATAAATGAGTTAAATATACCATTCGACTCATCATAAAAAGGCGCATCTACTAAATTTTTTAATATTCAAAAATATCAATATTTTAGAAAATATCGTAAGAATTTTAGACGTAACTGTTGATCACAGATGACATTTTTTTAGTAGAAAAGACTTATACAAATTATGGAGTGTAGAGTACAAGGAGAACCATCTTATAAGGGGCGAAAGTTGAAAAAGTGTCCTACTATTTACTGAAAATAGAGGTTCCAAAACCTACCACAATAGCGCTGGCGTTTGAAAAACTACGATATGAAGATAGCTGTTATGGACGGAGTGAAGTCAGCTGAATTCAAATATTTAAAAAATTTCATGACTAGAGTAGTTAGTAAAATGCCAGTACACAAAATCTCAACTATTTACGTAGTACAAAACCAAGCGGATTAATCGGTCCTTGTTTATTTCTCCATCTTACTCTAATTACATTTGGCGCTTTTTTTAATTTATCCTATACTACTGCACCGCCACCCTTATTCGACACGTTTTTAGGGACACTTTTCATAGTATAGAGATGGTCCTCCTTCTCTCTACACTCCACAATACAAATTCGACATAAAAGAAAAGACTTATTTAACCAGTTGCTACGTCATCTTTAACAATATTTGCATCGATTACTTAAATTTCGATTATTCTTGTCTTATTATTCTATCTTATTATTAAGAGCTTATATCTTATTATTAAGAGCTGGTGTTTCACATGTCGTCCCATATAAATTTGATCGAGGTCAGACCAATAGTTTTTGAGTTATCCTTAATTATTTATATTGAAGTCGGTTGTAAATTTTTTTAATTTTTAATTATTATCGTAGTAAGTCTGGTATGATATCCCCTTTAAAATCATAACTCAAGAGTTGCGGGTTGTTATTTTATGTGTCTCACTACCAATGCTTTTCTAATATTCACTAATAATAAAAAAAGTAGTAAATTACTACTAGCCTCCTTTCAACTTCAAATGACCTTTCCAAAATATGTAAAAATGTTAAATGAATGGCGGTTTTTTTTTATTTATTACGTTGGAAAGACGCAAAATGGTTATATGCGTCTTTCATTCGATGTTTTTATGTGGCCAGGTGTATTTTTTAAGCTAAAATGAAAAAGAAAATTCGTTTTATTTAAATAAATAAACAAATTATCAAAAAATAAGTTCGTCTTTAAAATCTTCAAGTCTCTACGTATTTCAATTTTCATATTGATACCTTTTAATATACTTTAGACACAGCAGGGTCTCAAAGAAAAATTCATCTATTTATTTTTTATTTCGATTTTACGTTTTTGTTAGTTGTGTGCTTCTTTATTATGACGGCAGAATGCCTAACCCTGTCGCCTCACGCTTGTGACGCAGTAGGTTTCAGGCCTTGGCGGGGTTTGTTCGTTTTAGTTTTTGAGACAGTTCCGTGCGCGAGCGACAGTTCAATCGTTTTTTTTTAATAAATTTACTTGTGATTACGTGTTGATATTATTGTTGTTGTAACGTTTTTGGATTCTTTTTTGTTTTAATAATGCCTAACGCGTACGTTTATAGTGCTCAACATGTTGGGTATCCGAACCTAGGTACACGAAGTCAGCGATACCTAAACTTTGTAAGTGAACAGTTGGTGGACATTTTAGACGACCTATCGTTGGCTGAATATCGCCGCACATGGCTCCAGCATGATGGTGCCCCTCCACATGTCGTGAGGTTAGTCCGTGAGCGCCTCAATGAGCTATTTGATGATCGCTGGATCGGCAGACTAGGACCACACGCTTGGCCACCTCGCTCACTAGATCTGACCCCGTTGGACTTCTTTCTGTGGGGGTATGTGAAAGAAAGGGTTTTTAATCGCGAGTGTGATAGTGCTGATGAAATGCGCCAAAGGATCGTGGATGTTTTCGACAAACTACGTACGGACTGTGTCGAAGACCACACGATGATGCCCCGCCTGCATGAGGAGATGCAACACCGAGCCCAAATCTGCCTTGAAATGAATGGAGCACAATTTGAGCCGCATCTCATAAGACCACGGAGGATTTAGAGCGGTAAGCTGTTTCATAAGTATTTTTTTTAAATAACTTAGTACTCGACTAATCTGAATAGGTACATAACTGAATACATGAGAATAATAAACATACCTACACGATGAATAAAAACGCATGACTCCAATCTTGGTTACATTGCATTAATTTAAGTATTTTTTCATTAGCGGGGAATCGAACCAGTTATTTGGGTTATTTAACCTGTAAATTCGTATTAAAGTGGCTACGTGGAGACAAGTACAGTGGCAAAATAGTAGGTTGAGTAGATAAGTTAGGTATTTAGACAAGGGCGCGGGCCGCGCGAATTTGCGTTCGCGCGTACATTGACCTCAAATCAGCTGATATCAATTCAGTAATTCCACTGCTGGTTTTATGTTTCAGTATTTTCATGATTTTTTTTATGAAATTATCGTTTCATTTAGCTGTACTAACATGATAGCGCGTGAATAAAGCTAATAAAACGTTATAAAAAGATGATTTTTTTTTCATCAGGATCGAATTTATGTGTTACCCATGATCAAAGGTATACTTGGTGCTGTCGCCTGTCTTAGTTTTCGGGAGCGTTCCAAAAATACCCTGTATATATATATATATATATATATATATATATATATATATATATGATACGGAAAAAATTGCTGAGGAATTTAACAATTATTTTATCAATGAAGTCCAGGCTATAAACCAGTTTAGTAATGGCCACTTTAATTATTCATCCATAAATAGTAGAATGAACTCAATGTTTATGCCTGCATCGATTCCTCACGATTTATATAAAATAATTAATAATTTAAAAAATACTAACAGTACCGGTAATGAAGATATAATCACAAAAGTAGTTAATTATGTGGCCATTGAAATTTCCCCAGTTCTAAGTTACGTGGTTAATCTGTAATAGTCCATATTGAATAAAAATCATTCTTAAATAAAACTAATTTTACGGATTTTATCGCGTATATTAACTTATTTTTAACTTATTTTTATATTCCCGACGTTTCGGGTGCTTTCCAGCACCCGTGGTCACGGGAGACTGAGTTGTTTGACGTCCTGCTGTCATAGTTAGCCCGGCTATCTTCAGTTTTTTAATATTAATTTTTGGTTCGATTTACGCAGAATGAGCTTCCAGTATCTTGAAGTCTAGCAGTGGTATACTTGGGTTTGGATTTGATTTTATTAATTATGGGATCCCAAGCAGATGGCAGCACCCATCCATCTTCTGTATTGAAATTAGTATGTTTTTTAATTTCAATAGCCTCGCGAATCATCCTTGGGAGGAATCGGTGTTCTTTTGCGAGGATTTGTGGTCTATCAAATCTAATGTAATGACGGGGACGATCCTGAACATGTTCACAAACTGCAGACTTCCCGATACGTCGGTGCTTCACGTCAGCTATATGTTCTTTAACGCGGGTTTTAATAGATCTTTTTGTTTGTCCTATGTACGAGAGACCACATTCACAATCCAGCTTGTACACTCCTGCATCTTGTAGAGGGATATGACACTTGACGGATGGTAAAAATTGACCAATCTTCTTCAGCGGCTTGAAGTACGTTTTAATGGAAGCTCGCTTCAAGATGTAGCCAACCTTGTCTGTGACTCCTCTGACATAGGGTAGTACAGCAGGCACACGCTCGACTGTGGTTGGCTTCACTCGTTCACTGTGACGTAGGCGCGGGACCCGAAGCTTGTTGTCTTGCAGTACTTGCTCGACGTGCTGAAGCTCGGCGGCCAGATGTTTTCTGTCACAGATCCCTCGTGCTCTCTGAAACAAAGATTTTCCCACGGTGGCTAACTGTGAAGGATGTGCTCTCAAAGGTATCACGGCATACACGATCCCCAGTACACGCTTTTGCTTTACCAACTAGCAGATTCGCTCACGTGCATGTGGATCTGATCGGACCTCTGCCTATCTCCAAAGGATATCGGTACTGCTTAACTGTTGTTGACCGGTTTACACGATGGCCGGAAGTGATGCCACTAGAAGACATAAAAGCTGAAACCGTAGCCAACGCATTCGTCAGAGGTTGGATATCACGATTTGGCTGCCCTCTAAAGATAACTACAGATAGAGGCAAGCAATTTGAGTATTACCTTTTTAAAGAGCTTTCTAAATTAACAGGCGCACATTACATCACCACCACTGCTTATCACCCGGCAGCAAACGGACTCGTGGAGCGGTTCCACCGGCAGCTGAAAGCAGCCATCATGTGTCATGCTGAGCAAAGTTGGTATGAAATCCTTCCATTAATTCTTCTCGGAATACGGAGTTCATGGAAAGAAGATATCGCATCCTCGTCGGCAGAGCTCGTATATGGCGAGGCTATAAGATTACCAGGCGATTTTTTCGACTCTACTCCCACAGCAGTCGTAGATTATAATGACTTCCTATCACGATTACGACACTATATTCAAAACTTAAAGCCGACACAGGTAACACGACATGGTTCAACAAAAGTTTTCGTACACAAAGACCTACGTAAATCATCACACGTGTTTCTAAGACACGACACCATAAAAAAAGCTTTACAGCCACCTTACGCTGGACCTTTTAGAGTGGTAGAACGTAGTGATAAAACATTTAAAATTGATCTTAATGGTAAAATCACAACTGTTTCCATTGACAGACTGAAGCCTGCTTACCTGCTTACCGACACACCAGAGAGCTCGCAGAAGAGTAAGCTGTGTCCACCAGAAGAACCTCCCTCCTACACCACCAGATCCGGCAGAAGAGTGAGGTTCGCTAATTTCTATCGACCGTAAAGGTCTCCGGGGGGGCTGATGTGGAGAAACGACGCGCTCTGCCTCGGGCGTTCCCGTAAACAGTCGGCGGCGCGAACGCAGCTTCAAGAGCACTCGGTTTTCTCCAGCTCACCATTCGGTCTAGCTACGCGACGCCGAGAGGCTGCCCATCTTGCGTTCCGTTCACGCCTACGTGATACGATTATTGTTCGCTCTTAATTGTTATATGTGTCTTTCAATATCTGACTGTTCTCTAACTTATATAGTTTCGTAGTTCTCGTTAATTAGATGTGTCTTGACTATTCTCTTACTTCGTGTTCCTTCTACTCTTGTGTATATTGTAATAAACTATTAACTGTATATGTGTGGTTTAATTCACCATCCGCCACATATATTTGGTGACCCCGCACGTGCGAGTGTAAGGACAGTGTTAAGACTTTAATTTCGCTATTCGTTATTTTCGCCATGAACAATAGCAAATTTGACGCATCGGCACCGACGCTGCCGGAATCGAGCGTATGCCGTGTCGGCGTAAAAGCACCGCCATTTTGGCCTGACGAACCGGCGTTGTGGTTCGCACAATTAGAGGGACAATTTCAACTGGCAAATATCACTGCAGACAATACGAAGTTCAATCATGTGATCTCTAATTTAGACTATAAATATGTAATGGAGGTGAAAGACGTGATTACTAACCCGACGCCGGAAAACAAATATGAAAAAATTAAGACCGAGCTTATAACATATCATATCAGCATCCCAAGAACAACGAGTTCGACAACTATTGGCGCACGAAGAACTTGGAGACCGGAAACCGTCCCAGTTCTTACGGCATCTAAGAAATTTAGCGGGTAACGACGTTCCAGGTGAATTCCTAAGGTCACTTTGGACAAACCGATTGCCTAACCATATCCAGGCTATTATCGCAACGCAAGCAGGTACCAGTTTAGACGCCGTGGCACAATTGGCTGACAAGGTCAACGAGGTCATGTTCCCGCCGCAGGTACAACACGTGGCTTCAACATCGACGATCGCAGCGCCATCGAGTTTGACGATTTGAGACGTCGCTTGGATGACCTATCCCGCCAAGTAGCTTCACTGACTATGCATCGTGCGCGTTCAAGATCACGAGGGCGTACTTCTAGTTACCGTAAACGTTCACGTAGCCGTTCTGCTTCCACCCATGACCAGTGCTGGTATCACTGGAAGTTTGGAAGCTCAGCTATCAAGTGTAGATCGCCGTGTAAGTTCTCCGGTTCACAACCGGGAAACACCAAAGGCAGTCAGTGATGGCGGCCAATGACTGCCATACTTCAGGCCGCTTGTTTGTTACGGACACTAAGACGAAAGTGTGTTATTTAGTGGACACCGGGTCAGATCTGTGTGTATATCCGCTGGGCATGCTACGCAGTAAGCGCCTTTTAAAGACTAATTATGAACTTTTTGCAGCAAATGGGTCTACCATTGCTACCTACGGCTGGGTGGATTTAGTGCTGGACTTTGGACTACGCCGTGCTTTTAATTGGCGCTTTGTTATAGCTAATGTTACGAAACCAATTATAGGCATAGACTTTTTAGCATTTTATAATTTACTTGTTGATGCTAGACACCATAGGTTAATAGATAATACAACCTCTTTCGTCGCTAAAGCATCTCCTGTTGCATTATCTGCTTTATCCCAAATTAAGACATTTACAGGCATTTCACGCTTCTATGATCTGCTAGCACAGTACCCGGAGATCACACGTCCAGCAGGCTGTCACGCTGCGCGTGAGGTGAAGCACAACACCGTGCACTACATCCGCACCACGCCTGGACCACCTGTCACCTGCCGTCCACGCCGATTAGCACCTGACCGTCTGCGCATCGCAAAAGAAGAGTTTGAAGAGATGGTAAGATTAGGTATTGCTAGACCCTCCGACAGCTCGTGGTCGTCACCTCTGCATCTCATCCCAAAGAAGGACAATACGTGGCGTCCATGCGGTGACTATCGGGCGTTAAATGCACGCACGATACCCGACCGCTATCCAATTCGACACATCGGAGACTTCTCACACAATCTCTTTGGCTGCACCATCTTCAGCAAAATAGATCTGGTACGTGCTTATAACCAAATACCAGTAGCACCTGAGGATGTACCTAAAACTGCCATTGCAACTCCGTTTGGTCTGTTCGAGTTTCCTTACATGGGCTTCGGAATGTGCAACTCGGCGCAAACATTCCAGCGTTTTATGGATGAAATTCTAAGAGGTTGTGATTTTGCATTTCCTTACCTTGATGACATTTTAGTAGCATCTAAAAACATAGAAGATCACGAGCGACACTTACGATCTGTCTTCGAGCGCCTCAAAGAATATGGTGTGCTAATCAACAGCTCAAAATCAATCTTTGGAGTACCTGAAGTGGAGTTCTTGGGATTTATTGTAACCGCCGAAGGAACGAAGCCAACACCAGATAAGGTCAGTGCCATTTTGAATTATCCACTTCCGAAGAACATAAAAGAACTCCGCAGATATCTTGGCATGTTGAACTTCTACCGCCGCTTTGTACCTAATGCAGCTAAAGTACAGGCACCTTTAAATTGCCTCCTCTCAGGGACGTCTCTGAAGGCCACTACACCAATCAATTGGACAACCGAACTAGAAAAATCATTTGAGGAAAGTAAGGAAAGTATAGTTAAAGCGACTCTGTTAGCACACCCTGACCCACGAGCACGCTTAGCCATCGTCACTGATGCCTCCGACAGTGCTATAGGCGCAGTGCTGCAGCAGAAATCTGGTTCAGAATGGATTCCTCTAGGATTTTTCTCAAAGAAACTGAACAACGCTCAACGTAAATACAGCCCCTACGATAGAGAGTTGCTAGCAATATACGAGAGCATAAAATATTTTAGGTATATGGTCGAACTTAAGCCATTCACTGTGTTTACCGATCATAAACCCATCATCTCCGCCTTTAAGAAAAATTCGGACAGCTACTCACCTAGGCCATTTCGATACCTAGATTATATCGCCCAATTTACAACCGACATTCGCTACATTTCAGGAGAGAACAACGTCGTTGCAGATGCCTTATCTCGAGTAGATAACATAAGCAGTACAGTCAACTTGGAGGATGTACGTGCAGCACAGGAAGCAGACGACGAACTCCCGCATCTTCGCCATCATACATCTTTGAAGATTAAGCAGTTAGACCTATCTGGCACCGGAATGAAACTCTACTATGATGTATCTGGTATATCTCCACGGTTATATTTACCTAAAACGTTACGACGCCAAGCTTTTGATACGATTCATGGCCTGAGTCACCCAAGTGCGAGAGTCATGATTAAGCTGATGACAGCAAGATACGTATGGCCTAATATTCGAAAAGACTGTCGACAATGGGCACGTACCTGTGTTGATTGCCAGCTCTCAAAGGTATCACGGCATACACGATCCCCAGTACACGCTTTTGCTTTACCAACTAGCAGATTCGCTCACGTGCATGTGGATCTGATCGGACCTCTGCCTATCTCCAAAGGATATCGGTACTGCTTAACTGTTGTTGACCGGCTTACACGATGGCCGGAAGTGATGCCACTAGAAGACATAAAAGCTGAAACCGTAGCCAACGCATTCGTCAGAGGTTGGATATCACGATTTGGCTGCCCTCTAAAGATAACTACAGATAGAGGCAAGCAATTTGAGTGTTACCTTTTTAAAGAGCTTTCCAAATTAACAGGCGCACATCACATCACCACCACTGCTTATCACCCGGCAGCAAACGGACTCGTGGAGCGGTTCCACCGGCAGCTGAAAGCAGCCATCATGTGTCATGCTGAGCAAAGTTGGTATGAAATCCTTCCATTAATTCTTCTCGGAATACGGAATTCATGGAAAGAAGATATCGCATCCTCGTCGGCAGAGCTCGTATATGGCGAGGCTATAAGATTACCAGGCGATTTTTTCGACTCTACTCCCACAGCAGTCGTAGATTATAATGACTTCCTATCACGATTACGACACTATATTCAAAACTTAAAGCCGACAACGGTAACACGACATGGTTCAACAAAAGTTTTCGTACACAAAGACCTACGTAAATCATCACACGTGTTTCTAAGACACGACACCATAAAAAAAGCTTTACAGCCACCTTACGCTGGACCTTTTAGAGTGGTAGAACGTAGTGATAAAACATTTAAAATTGATCTTAATGGTAAAATCACAACTGTTTCCATTGACAGACTTAAGCCTGCTTACCTGCTTACCGACACACCAGAGAGCTCGCAGAAGAGTATGCTGTGTCCACCAGAAGAACCTCCCTCCTACACCACCAGATCCAGCAGAAGAGTGAGGTTCGCTAATTTCTATCGACCGTAAAGGTCTCCGGGGGGGCTGATGTGGAGAAACGACGCGCTCTGCCTCGGGCGTTCCCGTAAACAGTCGGCGGCGCGAACGCAGCTTCAAGAGCACTCGGTTTTCTCCAGCTCACCATTCGGTCTAGCTACGCGACGCCGAGAGGCTGCCCGTCTTGCGCCCCGTTCACGCCTACGCGATACGATTATTGTTCGCTCTTAATTGTTATATGTGTCTTTCAATATCTGACTGTTCTCTAACTTATATAGTTTCGTACTTCTCGCTAATTAGATGTGTCTTGACTATTCTCTTACTTCGTGTTCCTTCTACTCTTGTGTATATTGTAATAAACTATTAACTGTATATGTGTGGTTTAATTCACCATCCGCCATAGATTCATACCAATTTGTTAGTGAGATTAAAGACCTACATCTCGCTGACAATGAAACCATGGTCAGTTTTGATGTTCAGTCACTATTCACATGCCTACCTATTGAAGACTGCATCTCAATTGTTACTAGAAAGCTAGAAGATAACAACATGCCTACAGAATATGCAGTATTACTCAAACACTGCCTCACATCTGGCTATTTATTGTGGAAAGAAGAGTTCTACATGCAAGTAGATGGAGTGGCAATGGGCTCACCTGTATCTCCCGTAGTCGCCAACATATTCATGGAG